CGTTTTTCATTCATTCATCCAATGTAAATCATTTTTTTTCTCAGTGTTGTCCAATCAGTCTTTTTTGAATAAACAAATCATCAGTCAACGAAAATGTTACCTCTGCCCCCACACCGTTACAAACGCACACACACACACGAAAAAAATCATCAGCCAGAATTTATACAATGCAAACCTTAAACACTTAGTAGAAAAAAAAGTCAACATACACACACACACACACACACACACACGAAACATATTTCTCTGTGGATTGAAATTATGAAAAAAAAGACGTAAAAGAAAGACGAAAAAAAAACATTATCCAAATGAATAGACGCCTTTACTAATAACAACAAGCAAACATAATGATTTGGGATAAAAATGAAAAAAAATAGTCATTATTTACCATTATGATGATGATGATGATGATTATTATTATTATAGATTTTTTTTTCATTTCATTTTCACAACAACAACAACAAAAACGACAACAACAACAACAACAACATAACATTATCATCATCATCATGATGATGAATATAACGAATTCAATTGAATTTTGTTGAATGCTTGAATGATTTTTATTATTACGTTTTTTTTTGGTCGTATTTCGTTCGAGTTTTCGTTTCATTTTTTTTTCTCTCTCCAATACATTCCATTCATTCATTCAATTCAATTTTTACTCTTTCCAGTGTAAGTGTGTGTTTGTATATTTAAAACTTGCCGCGCGCGCATTCATTTTTTTTCCATCGTCACCACCACCACCACCACCACTGTCTATCCTTGGCAATAATGAAAAATAATAATAAAAAAAAGACTTAATTTCGGTAAATAATACTACATACACACACACACACACAAACACAATATTTCCCATAAAGTTTTTCTTGGTTTCGTTTTTTTTATTATTAATGTTGAGTGGAAACAAAACAAAACGAAAGCAAAAAAAAAATTGAAAGGCGGTCCACGACCAAAAACGATCCAAAAACAACAACAACTGAGAATTGCAAATTTTGGATCGTTTTTTTTTTCTTTTTGTTTTGTTTTTTTTTTTTTTTTTTTCAATCATTTGGTTGCTTTTTATTAAATTGGATTAAGTTTTTTCTCTTTCTTTTTTTTCCATCGTCGTTGTGTGTGTTTTTTTTCATTATTTCTTATAACATAATTTTAGTTATTCCAAGAAAAAAAAAATTCAACGCTCTATATATATATGTGTGTGTGTTTGGTATAATTTCTAAATTTAAACATTTTTCCTCTCTCTCACTCACTCGACTCTATGATTTTATCCTCCAATGATTATGATGATGATAGTGTTTTTTGTTTCTCTTGTGTGTATGAATGGATCGAAGCAAATAGAAAAAAAAAAAAAAAAAAAAAAAAAAAGTTTATGCAAAAAAAATGAGAGAGAAAAAAAAATGGATAACTTTGAAACTTTTTTTTTTTTTTGTTTTGCTGCTGCTGCTGCTGGAATCAAGATGGAAACATTTTTGTTTCTATTCAGTTCACCACTGCTACACACTACCAAATGGCTAGGAAAACTTCATCATCATCATCATTTTTTATTATCCCGAATGTAAAAAAAAAAATTTTTTTTCATTCATTTTTAACTCAAATTTCACGATTTAATTCATTCAATTATCATTTACAATAGTTAGAGACAGAGAGAGAGAGAGAGAGAGAGAGAGAGAGAGAGAAATGAATGTTGTGTGTGTGTTGCATGAATGGATGTTTTTTTTTGTCTATCTGTGGAAGCAGAGAGAGAAAAAAAGTTTAGATTTTGTCGAAAGAAGAAAAAGAAAAATGCAATTGAATTGAATTTAATTCAATTGAATTAATTCTGAAATGAAAGAGAAAAGAAAATTTTTTTATTTTTTTTTTTGACTTTATATGTGTGTGGCCCACAAATGATGGTCATAAATTCATTATCGGTCTATTTCGTTTTATTTTTTTCGTTATTTGAATTTTGAAAATGAAAATCTCTGGTTGTTTGTTTGTTTGTTTGTTGGTTTTTCACTGATTTTCAAATTATTATTATTGATGGTTGAGATGGACTAAAAAAAGTTTCGTGTTTCGTCCCCCACACAAAAATAGAAATGTAACATTTTTTTTTTTGCCACGGAAACAACTCTCTATGTCGCAAGAAATGACGTTATTCATTATGGTAATTTTTCCACTCTTCATCATCATCATCATCATCATCGTTTCTTAGTTATTATGTAATAAATGTGAATCATGAAATTTTTTTTTTTTTTTTTTTGGTTACAAAAATAGAGAACACAAAAAAAATTGTACAGTGAAATTAAATTACATTTTACATAAATTTTAAAATTCATGTTGTTTCCAAAAAACGTAAATCGTTTGCAAAATGTTGTAAAAGTTTTTGTTTTCCAAAGAAAAAATTACCGGAATATTCCTGTTTTATGTAAATTTTGCACTCATTTCAATTTCAATATTATATTATTATTATTACTGCTACTACTACTACAACCACTAGGGCATTTTTTTTCTTGTCATTAAAATTTTTTTTTCACAATTGATGAAAAATCACTGATATGAATATCTGGGACAGATAAAACAAAAATAAAAATAAAAAACCAGGTGAGAAAATTTCTCCGGAAAAAAACACTAAACAAACCATGTGATTACCAGCAAAATTGCTGTGTGTTTGTTTGTGTGTGTTTTTCATTGAATGATTGATTTTTTTTTTCACAGCTGAAATACAAAAAAAAAAAACAACAATCGTTTGTCCATAAATACTTGATGGATGGATTGATTGATTGATTGATTCAATGAATGAATAATTTGAACATTTTTTTTTCGTTGTTGTTGTTCTATTTCGTTTCAATTTTCAATCGATTATTCGTGAAATCTCAAACGTGCACATACACACACACACATCATCATCATTCAGTTACATTGAAATTGTTTGCACAAAAGAAAAATCGATCCATCGTTCTGTTTCTTTGAAATATCTCTGAAATTTTTTTGGCGAAAAAAAAAATCGAGCCATATGATGATGATGATGATGATGAAAAAATAAATATTCAAAAATGGAAATTGAAAATGAAAAAAAAAAAAATTATGCCAGCAACTGCTTGTGATGAATGGTGAAGAATAATAAATTTGGTAAAGAAAAAAAAATTTTTTTTCATGTTCCAGGAACAAAAAAAAAATTTATTTCTGATGTGAGTATTTGCACATGTGATACATTTATTTATATTTTTAGAATTTTTTTATCGTTTATTTTTATTTATGATGATGACGATGACGATGATGACGATCCAAAATAAAAATTGTCTGTGTGTGTGTGTGTGCGTTTTGGCCACAATCATCGATTTCATTCTGAGAATCCAGTATTATTATTTGGAGTTTCGTTTATTATTATGAAAAAAAAATAAAATAAAAACAATGAATCTAGACCACCACTACCATCACTAACAACAACAACAACAACAACAACAACAGTTTACATCTGGTGAATGTTTATGGTATTTCTTGTGTGAAACATAACCGATGTTCAATGTTCAAGTGTGTCTGTGTGTGTGTGTATTTTTCATATTTTATTTATTTTCATTTTGCTTTTCGAGAATTGGAAAAAAAATAAAATGTAAAATTTGAATACTCAATATGAACACATGCATGGAAATGGAAACACACAAAATCTACACTCTATTCCGCATTCTCTTTCTTTCTCTTTTTCCCTCCGGTGATTCATTTATTACATTTACGCATACACACACACACAATTTCAATTACAATTTTTTCGTTTAAATTTTTAATTTCTTTCTAGTTTTATTCATTCATTCATTCATTTTTGATTTCTGAAATTTTCATTGAATTTCCTGCTCTACATTGTTGTGATTTATTTATTTATTGAAATGAATCATCATGTATCATGGATGTGTTTAATTATTATCATTGTCATCATCATCATATCATTGTTTTACATCAATAAAATCAATCAATCGATATTGAAATGGAAAATGTATGATGATGATGATGAAAGCTCAATAATTTCATAGTTTTTTTTTTGATCAACAAATATTTGAAAATTTCTTTCTCATTCATTCAAAACAAAACAAAACAAAAAAAAAATTGTTTTATCGATTTCGATTCGATTTCGATTCGATTCAATTCAATTCAATTCATTCAATGATGATGATGAAAAATAACGATAACAAACAGTAATAATAATAATAATAATAATAATGATGATGATGACAACATTTATATTGATCAATCGATCAATTGATCGATTATTTTATGATGAACAACAACAAAAAAAAGATCGATAATAATCTCTCTCTCTCTCTTTTTTTTTTCGTTTGTTTGTTTGTATGATCAAAATGAAATGAAATGGAAAATGATAAACAACAGAATAGCCGAACAACTGAAAAAAAAAAATTTTTTTTTGTTGTTCGGATATTGATGATCAATGATTTTTTTGTTTCGGCCAAAAAAAAAAAAAAAAAATAAAATAGATTACCGAAACAGAACAGAAAACATTCAATTCTTATCCGATCGATCGATATTATTATTATTAATTGAATTTACAATTTTTTCCTCTCTCTCAACAACAACAACAACAACAACAACAATGAAATGGAAATGACATTTCTTTTGATTCATTCAACCAACATCATCATCATCATCATCATCATTTGTAATTAATACAGAGAGAGAATTAATTTGATTCTAGTGGTAAAGAAAAAAAACATTTCATATTCGTTTAGAATTTGTACGAAAATGAATTTTCATCATTAATTAATTCTTTATTAAAAAGAGAATGAAAACAAAATTAAAAAAAAAAAATTCGTTTTGTTTTTTTTTCTCTGTTCATTCATTCATTCATATACAATGTAACAACAACGACAACGAGGACAGAGAAATTCTGTGATTGAAACAAAATATGAAATTCTTTTGAATTCATATATTAATTTTTCTCCTGATTCTAAAAATATCTTTGTTTTTCTTTTTTTTTCCTCTCTGATCCATATATCTCTTTATTATGTTTATAGGTTGAATTTATTCACAATCATCATCATCGAGTGATCAACCTCAATAACGATAACAGCAATCAAGTGAGTAGAGAACAATTTTCTCATTTTTTTTATTTTCGTTTTTGCAAACATATCAAGTTTGAATTTTATCGATTGAATCGTTGAAAAAATTTAGATAATTTTTTTGAGAGAAAAAAAAGAGAAACAAACAAATTATATGAAATGAAATTATAAAATTTTCAAACCATATTCATCACGCTACCATTCCATGGTTCCTGGATCTGTTTTTATTTTTTCGATTTTTTTTTTTTTGATCATCATTAAAATAAAAATTGAAATAAAAATGTGAATGAATTTTGTCATCAATGAAATTGTCTTTCTCTCTGTGTGTGTGAGTGTTTTGAAAATCTTAAGTTTTCACTTTGTTCATCTGATCAATGAATTTTTTTTTTTTTTCGTTTTCATTAGGCACCGGTGATCGATTTTGTGAAAATCCATTAAAAATGTTTGTAAATGAATATAAATTTTCTCCATCACTCAGGTGCACAATTGCACAATTGATTCTTGTTTTCTGCTTCTTTATTTTTTTTTTCGCTGTATTGATTTTGATTTATATAATTTTTTTTTATTTTATTATCATTACAACTTGTGGTGTGTGTGTGTGTGTGCGTTAATTATCATGTGAAAAAAAATGTGAAAATTACCGGTATTTTTTTTATTGTACTAAAAAACTTTTTGCATTTTGACTACCGTTTTGTTTTTTTTATTATTCTTGGATCCAACGAAAAAAAAACTTCGTCGTTTACCATTACCATAGAATCGTTTATTGTTTTTTCCATTAATTTATGTTCGCTAATTAACGTATATATATATATGGAATATATAATATCATTGGTTCATTTGTGTTTGTTATTGATCAATCGATAATTGCTCCATTTTCTTTATGCATATCTATCGATATTTATCATACGATTGTTTTTTTTTCAAAGGTAAAGAAACAAATAAACATGCAAAAAAATTTTTTTAAAAGTCACAAGATATTTGTTGGTTGTCAACAACAAGAACTAACCACCCGATAATATATAACAATTATGGTGGTTACCATGGTATTCAAAACAATTGAGGAACAACAACAAGCAGAAAAAAAACCTATAACGGAATTTCTGAGTGTGTTTTTAGATTGTCAACTTTTTATTCTTATTCTTAGCTAGCGTCTTTTGGTCCATACGGATTAAATCATGATGAAATTAAGATAATCAATCGACGACATTAATCGATAAAATTGGATTTCTTTTTTTCTGCATGATGCTGCAAGATGATTGTAATTTCAGCAATCGCAGAATCATGCAACACACATACACACACACACACACACACATTAACAGTGAATCAAAGATTTTGTCGTTTAAATTAATTAAGAAAACCATGAACGAATGAAAATAAAAACAAAAATCATTCCAACAACAGCAGAGTTATTAATGTAATGAAGAGCAAAGCAAAAAAAAAATCTGAATGAGATACGATAATAAATGGATACAATGAATGATGGTTGCAGAATCTGAAAAAATTTTTTTTTTGTTTGGAATTTTTTTCTCTCTTTCTCATGCAATTTGAATACAACAGACAAACAAAACGGTTAGTTTTGTTCGACGATGACAATGTGTGTGTGTGTGTGTGTGCACAAATGAATTCTATTGCTGGAACAATTTAATTGTGAACATTTAAATGTTGAAATGAAATAAAAAAAAAAAAAAAAAAAACTACGACCAAAGTATATACATTGCTATTAGTGTTATTGGACAATGAAAGTAAAGAAATTCTGTATTGTGTTCAATGTATTCACATATAGACATTGGCTGATGAAAGGATTAATGATCAATCGTCGTTGTCGGTACTGTGATTCTGTAATTTTTTTTTTTTTTGTGCATGGCTGCGTTTGAACACTGCCAACTAAAGCTTTTGGCATTCATTTTTCACTCATTTCATTTCATTTATTCGTTCGTTCGTTTAATTTCATTCATTTGATTTTTTTTCCGAATGTTTCGATTCGTGAAAACATGTTTTAGTCAATGAAAAAGAGTAAAAAAAAAGCAAACACACACACACACCGATCATCATGATAATGATAATGAATGATAAAGAAAAAAAAACGCAAAGAAAATGTAATGACAAGCTTAGAGAATTTTGAGAATGAATTGAAAAAAAAATCACAGAAAAAAGTTTTTTTACCCATCATTTTTTTACCAGAATCCATTTGCCACACCAGAATAACCATTCTGTGTGTGTGTGTGTGTGTGTGCGTGTTTGTTCTACATGTGGACTAATTAATCAAATTAATGCAAATAATAAAATTGATGATGATGATGACGATGATGCATTTATCCAAATTACGAAATTCTTCATGAAAAAAAAGAAGTATTGATCCTGGAGAAAAAAAAATTTGAAATTCAAATGTAATTCCTTTTTACTATGTGCACACACAAAAATGAGAATCACAATCTTTACATCCAGTTATTCGTCCTCACACCACCATATTGATAAATGTAAAAAGAAAAAAAAATTTCAAGAATTTAAGGAATTTTTATTGCTATTTGAATTCCACTTTTTTTCGATTATCTGAATATTCTCCACTGAAATTAATCTTGGATGAGAGTAATGATAATCACTCTTTGTGTGTGTGTATGTAATGATATTGAAAATTCATTTGATCGATTGATTAATCAATCACTTTCACGTATAAACGGGGCTGTATATTGGATAAAGGTTTTTTTTCACCACTTTTTCTTTTTTTTTTCGTTTTTTAGATCAACATTTTAATTGATTTATCATATCACCAAATTCAAATAAAAAAGACATTAATTCTTGCCATTTGTTGTAATTCCAACAACGATGGATTAGTTTTTTTGGGGGGTGTACACGCAGAAAAAAAAAGAAAAATAGATCCAATTCTAATATGTAATGACGTAATTGTGTTTTTTTTTTTTTTTTTCATTGGTTTCTTCTTATTCACAATTGCCATTAATAACAAAATTTTCCATTCATTGAATCAATGAAATATGAACGATTGTAAAAAAAATGCAAACATTTCTTCTGGAATTTGATCGTTTTCCTTTATTAACCCTAGAAAGGTAACCTACGTAAAATTTATTTTTTGCACTTCAAAATGTTCCAAAAAAACACTCACGATGCTAAGACAGCTGGAACCCCTTTCTATTCCTCAAGAATATATTTCTACACCTTTAGAAATAGAAAAGATCCAGTTTTCGCCTTTTATCTGTTATCTATAAGCTCAGGCGTAAAAGCTTGTACGTAAAATTTACGTATGGTTGCCTGAATCAGCATAGAAAAATCTTAGAAAATTTTGCTGAGAGCGATAGTTTCGGAAATTTTTCCCAAAAAACGTCATTTATGAATAAAAATAATTTTAATCTTTTTCTTTTTTTTATCTTTTCACTTGTCAAAAACGTTTTTTATCGCAATATTTTTTGAAATAAACGTCTTTTCTGTTTATATGTTTATGTTTTTCACTTTATTCAAAATTAAAATGCTTGCAAAAAGCGTTTAACAACGACCGGATGTAAACGTTGTGGCACCACCCCGTGACGAATATCAGATAAAAATTTGTCAATCATGTTTCGAAACACAATCATCGATTGATTAATCATATTTACAGGATCATTTTTCATTTTTTCTTGACGCTGTGATAATTTCAAAATTGACAATAAAAAAAAATTCAAAATTTACACCATATCTTTGATTTGATATTTTTGAACTTTCCACTTTTGAAAAATGATTTTTTTTTCTTTAATATAAAATAGAGGTGTGATTCAATGAATAAACGTTAAAATTTAACATAAATAATCAGATGAATAATTTTTATAGCGGAAATAAGTTAGGCATATCAACTACGTAAAATTTACGTAGGTTACCTTTCCCGCAATATCGATAAGGTTACCTTTCTAGGGTTAAACAGAAATATATATATATATTAATCAAATGAACAAAAACAATTCCCTTGAATTTGGCATTTGCCAAAAAGACAAATCAAATGATTTATCATCCCGATCATCATCATCATCATTACAATATTAAATGTGAATATATATAATATATATTTATGTTAGAGTAAAATTCCAGAAAAACAAAATTACGAGATTTACAAATGGCAAAAATGATCATTTTGATTTTTTATTTTATTACAATATAAAATGATGATGATTATCCATCGATCAATACTAAATCCTGATGATTTTCAACAGATGAATATATCATCATCATCATCGTGGTGGATTTTTTTGTATATTCATTCTTTCAAATGTTGTATGAATGTGTATATTTTATTTTCACACCTACATCAATTTTTTGTTTTGTTTTGTTTTGTTTTTTCGCCATGTGCATATACATATTATAATCCATTCACATTTCCATTATTCAATGCAAAATGGTGCACCATTTCATTTGCATATCATAGATATATGTGTAAAACACTGACGTTGATGATAAATCCTATAATAATCGTCTTTTTTTTTTAGTTTTTGTTTTGTTTTAATAATGAAAAAAAACGGGCCGCGAATCGTTGTTTAGTGTGAAAATAAATAAATAAATAGATAATAACGACGGCTGTGAAAAATATTTAGGTCACCGACACAAACATACCGATCATTTTTTTTTTCAGTTTTTTTTTAATATTCAATCAATCAATTGAACAATTATAATCATTTGATTTCATACATTCATAAATCGGTGTCAATTGAATTAATTTAATCGGCAAAATGCCATCATTCATTCATTATCAGATTACAGAACCGATTTTGATGATGAAAAGAGAAACAAACAAACAAACGAACAAAAAAAATTGAATTTCAAATTCTTTACTTGAAATTTTTTCGATTTTTAAAAAATGAATGAACGATTTCATCGATGTTGATGGAATCCACTGTATAAGAATCGAATCAAACAGACAACAACAACAACAACAGAAAAAAGAAAAAAGTTGAATCATCATTCTTTTCGCAAAAGCAAAAGTTGATCGTAGGTTGTTGTCGGATATTTATTTTTTTTTCTACTTTGTTTCCGATACA